TAAAACCTAGAATTTACAACCTTATCTCTGCTTTGTTTTTCTGAAGCCTAAATTCATGATTTGCGTTAAATTTCTGAAGTTGCTTTCGTTAGATTGTAGGTTTCTATTATGCTTTGAGATGCAAACAGTTTTAGTGCAAATTAGCTGTCCTAGTCTGTCTATAGAAAACCTAATTTTTTCTCCAACTACTTTGTAGTGCACAAGGGCAATGCTTCACTTTGTTTCCAATTTTTGCACATTTGGATTATTTCCGTTTTATTTTCATTCTTAAATCCTAGTGTAGAGTTTCCTAGTCTTGTTGCTTGAGGTACAATCCATAGAATTCTTTTCACAAGGCTTATTTATCACAGAAGTAGATGTTGAAGGGCCCTGTGAAGCAAGTGATCACGAGAAGAGAAAAGCCAGTGTTGCGGTTAACAACATAATATCCGTGCTGGCAAACTACAGTGAGTTGACAGGCAGACTGGTTGGTGACAAGAGATGCTGTCAATCTGGAACGAGTCTGCTCAGTGCTTCCTTAAATATATCTTTTGGTAGAATAAAACAAAGCTTTGTATTGTGAGTTTTTTTGAAATTCCTAAATTTCCTGTTTTGTTGACCGTATGATCTACTCCTGAGTAGAGTTAACACTTTCTTTCTCCATTTGGAATGTCTTTCTGAAATGTGCAGAACCGATGCGCACTTACCTGACATGCCAATTGTCTATGCAAGTGATGCCTTCCTAAGATTAACAGGTGCTGAAGCTGTAGCTAATTTACATTATTGTAATCTTTTTGTCATTTAACAGGGTTGTTCTCACTTTTGATGGATTGGGGAGGGAATAGAGAAATCTACTTGTGTTCATAAGAACGCGCATGAGGGCTCACTCTAACCAATGTTGCTAACAGGAACCATTCTTTTCTTCAATAGGCTTCTCGAGACATGAAGTATTGGGCCGTAATTGTAGGTTTTTAAGTGGGGAAGATACAGACAGAAGTACACAATTTCAGGTAATATTTTTTCTGCTGATCTGCTCTCAATTGCTTTGGGATTAAAGGCCTAGTGCCCTTCGTAAAATTAAGATTTTCTTAACTGGGGCCAGGGCTGAGGGAAGGTATGGGCTTGAGCAGACGATCTCAATCCTTTTTTGCCTTTTTTTCTTCTCTTTGCAGATAAGACATTGCATCCAAAATGAACAACCATGTACTGTACATATCTTAAATTACAGGTTGGTTCCGGTCTTTGCATGATATTCAGATAAGGATTGTTTCCTTGTTCTTTAGGCTCAATCTCTTGGTGGCTGCATATTTGCTTTCAGAAAAGACGGAACATCATTTTGGAATTTTCTTCACATTTCACCGGTCCGGAATGCTTCAGGCAAGGTAATATTTTTTAAACTAATAGGTACATATTTACCATCCCATAAAAAGCTTAGAAATGCCTGTTGAAAGAACGAAGCTATCTTTTAAAATATAACTTCTCTATTTTTTTGTTTAGTTTGCATGGTCATTGGACGGAGGAATAATATATTCCGTTTCTTTTGAATGAACTCTTTTATAAATTCACTTTAGTAGAGAACGTGGTTTAGATACAAGTATTCCTAATTAATTTCTTATTTTCCTTTTTTGTGTCGCGTTAAAACAAAAGAAAGTATACAAATTTTATAGTTTAAACTGGTTGAGTTGATTTATCCTTACTAAACAAGCTCACAACAAATTTTTATAGTCCACGAGTAAGTTGCCTGAAGGGCTGAGACAAGCTATTTTTGCATTAGCGGTAGTTGAGTTTATTCATATTCTCAATTCAATTGCAGGCTCACTGGTGTCATAAATTAATAACATCACCTCTCCCTTTGTCATGTTTATGATGCTCTTATGATTCCCTCAGCCTATCAAGGTGTTATATAGTCTATTAACGTAACATATCGTCATATATTCCCCAATGTAGACAACTTCTCCACAGGTTCTTTTAGGTGAATGTCATGTCCAAATGGAATGAATACATCTCCTGAGACATGTTTGTTAGTCCTTTCAGTTTAACCAATTACAGAGTTATCATTTAGGAATTTGTTAGTTACCTTTTCATACATTATGTTTGTATTGAGATATCCATTTGAAGGTTTCATGTTGCAAGAGATGCTTTATTTTAGATTCGAGATTTGAATTAGTTCTCAGGGATCAAGAGTAGCAGATGGTCTAAAATTCGTCTTTACTTTATGTTGGAGAAATAGATCCAAGAATAATTCAATGTCTCAGGGATTTGAATTAGTTCTCAGGGATCAAGAGTAGCAGATGGTCTAAAATTCGTCTTTACTTTATGTTGGAGAAATAGATCCAAGAATAATTCAATGTCTTCCTGAATAATCAGTGATTGAAAAGATTGAATTTTTGTTCCACGGATTTAACTAATAGTGATGCTCACAGTAAAAAATGAACTATCTGTAATATTCTAAAGAAGATAACCAAAAAGCTGGTATGGTTCTCATTATGTGCTCTTTATCTAGTTTGCGATGATTAGTACTAGCGTCAAAGAGATCAGAAAAAAAGAAGAAAGGATTTTATGATGTCTATCAAGTTTCTTGTACACAGTAAAGGTGGAGATAATGCTATTGTGAGTTATGTAATTTGGTGCAAGAGGCTGCGCCAAGAGACAGAGAAATTAGAAGAGACTAGCAGGATAAAATTGGAAGTAAAAAGCGAAATAAGTTTTTTGCTCTGTTTGGCTTGAAACCAAGCTGTTAGGTATGTTGGACAAAGTCAATTAATATAACTTAACCTAATGAATATCAGTCTCAATCCATTTCTAAGTATTGGATTGAGACGGGTCTAGATGGAGTGACATGGATAATAAAGATTCACATACCCGACCCTTGCTTGCGATTGAGGTTGTTGGTGCTCGGTGAACAAGTTACATTAGACATTTAAAGATTGATCTTTTCTGCATTGTTTGTCATTCTCTGTTAAAACTTAAGCTTGGAGTAGAATTCTTGATTCCAAAGGCGATCCATTTGCTGCACATATAATCAGAATAAATGCAGCCTAAATCACAAAAATATGCGCATAGCTTAGGCCGCGTTCACCTACTTGCTGCTGCTTGTTGAAAACTAAGCATTTGTTATTCTGTCCATTTGGCTGCATAGGTTGCATACTTTGTTGGCATTCAGATAGAAGATACAAGCGAGGCTGGGGGGAAACAAGGGCTAAATCCGGAGATGAGGCAGCGCAGTGTTGTAGCTGCTGTAAAGGTTGCTGTAAGAGGCTTGTCAATGGGTGCAAGCACCTCCTAGTTCTTGAACAAATTTGTTTTTCCTTTTTGTGCTAATAAACACTGAATTCTGCTAAAAAATGTATTGTTTCATAGCACATTAGCATCAGTTAAAAAAAAAAAAACACATAAATAGTATGTTATGAAAATTTGATCTTTTCTTTGTCATATATTCAGATGCCTGAATGTTGATTGAAGTTTATACATTGCAATTCACACACCATACATCTACAACAATTAGATGCAATCACTACAATATTTAAGTCTTGTAGTTGAACTACTCATTTTATTTTTAATTTTTTATGCAGGAAGTGAGTGTCATCTAAATCTCTATTTCTTAGGGCAAGTTGCGACAAAAAATAACTACATTCGCTAGCTAAATATACAAAAATATGTATATTATTAATATATAGAAATTATATATTTTGTCGGCTATTATTTCTTGGAGCGGCTGTAGTTTAGTTTTTCCTATTTCTTACACGTAATAGTTGCTTTATTTGTCAAAACTAACTATACTCAATTGTTTTCGAGGTCAACAATATGAAAATTGATTTTAATTTTCTGAAAGGTTATTTGGTTTAAAAGAAAGATAACCTTGGTATAAAATTATGCATAAATGATGGTATAATCTTGGGTTTGAAGGGGAGCCATGACGTGATTGGTAAAGTTGTTGCCATGTGACCAGGAGGTCACGGGTTCAAGCCGTAGAAACAACCTATTGCAGAAATGCATGGTAAGGCTGCGTACAATAGACCTTTGTAGTCCGGTCCTTTCCTGAACCCCGTACATAGCGGAAGCTTAGTGCACCGGCTGCCTTTTTCATTAGCTAATGATGCGTTTGATCTTTTGGTATAAAACTCTGTAACTAATGCAATGTTTGGTTTCCGGTATTAAATTTTTGCATTACTAATATTGGTAAATATAATGTAGAATAAGAAGACAAGTCTAAACAATATCTATTCTCAAGATAAGAGTAGCTAAAGATAAAAAAATGCTCTCCAAATATAACAATTACTGTATAATAGTATTTTCCGACCGCTGAAACAGTCGGAATGTGGTCAGAAAATGCTGATTTCCGACTACATTCAGACTGAAATAATGCGGTCGCAAAATAGCTGGTATGAAATATTTGCGACTACCGCAGTCGGAAAGTCAAAATAAAAAAAGGACTAATAAATGTAGTCAACCGTTCGACTGACGCGATCACAAACATTTAAATTAAATTTCAATTATATATATATATATATATATTCCCCACTACTTCGGTCGCAAATGTTATAAATAATTATAATTTTATTTAAACTTTCTCACTAAAGTAGTCGTAAATATTACAAAGTATTTTAATTTTATCTAAGTTTCCCACAATTGTAGTCGCAAATTTAATTTAGTATTATTATTTATTTATATATGTTTTCCACTATTGCGGTCGCAAAACTAATTTAATATTATTTATTTATTTTCCACTATAGCGGTCACTGTTCCTAGATCTGGTAAATATTGAAGTAATTTGCGACTATTGTGGTCGGAAAATTGGAAATATTTTAAAGCTACATCACCTACCACTTCAAAAATACAACAACTAAACAATTAATCCACCATTCCGAACAATCAATCCACTATTCCAACCAATTAATCCACCATTTCAACTAATCAAAACCTATACAAAGCAAACTATTAAAGAAAACCCCTATTGATCAAACCCTATTTATTGTTCATCAACAATTACTATAATTTCATGTATATAACTAATCTGTGAACCAAATGACCACTTAGAGTATTTAATTTAATGGGTTGTTACAAAAATTAATCGGTTAATCCGCCATATACTACTCTGATCCCAGTTTAATAGCTGTTTACTATTTTCTTCAACATTTCGAAAGAAAAACAACAATCAATCCTCTAAAAAATTGTGGAATTTTCACCAAATTTAAATTAGGTCACTTAAAACAGAAACAAGCAGTAGCAGTAATATTTTCTGAAGATAGATATGAAGTATATTTTCTCAAACTCTTTTTCTCAGTGCCCATGAATAATTGTCTGTAATGGTCCATTGTTATTAAAAAGTAAAAATGCATTAAAATATTAACATTTTTTTCAACTCATCTTTTTTAATAAATAAATAATACAACAAACTTTAATTTGTATCTCAATAAATAATCGTGCAAGATCACAATAATTGTTGGACAGTTTTCATCTAAAATTTTGTATACGGTCAAAACCGGGCTCGCCCCTTATGTGATTAATCGAGATTGGAATATGATAGGTTAAGGTTCGACCTCGAATTATACTGAACCAAGGTGCGAGGTTATATCGTTAAGTTCGACCTCGGAAAGACGAGATCGAGGGAAATTTGCCATGCCGAATAACAGTAGGATGAAATATCGGCGATCTAGTGCAGATCACAGCGGGACTCTCGACACATATCAAGGATGGGCCGGTTAATTAGCTCGTGGGATTTTTTTACCTCATAGAGAGCTGTATCAAGAGTAGGAATCCTCTGTAAGTTATTTTTCCTATGTATATGTGGCCCAATAGGTTAAGACCCATAATTAATATTTAATTAATTATCAAATCTCATCCGTCCGATTGGTTACTTGATGGACGTACCAGATTAAGTGAGAACCTCTATAAATTGGCCCTCTCCCCACCCATTAGGGTTACCGTATTCTATTTTCTCTCTTCCATCACTAAAGTCGGCGATAACGTAAAGCTAGGACAAGGGGCGAGAAACCAATTTCAATTAATGCTTCCGCTTCACGATAATGGATTCCGCTTCAGGTATGTTTTCTATGACGATTATATGTAAGATAATCATGTTCAAGATCCTGGTATGAATTAAAGTTTATGCTTACAGAGAATGGATATTTGAACTGGTAATCTTCGTTTACTAGTACAACTGAAATCACCGTGGCTTTAGTTAAGAATAGTTTTCAGCGAAACTGTAAGAACATATTTATTTTCTCATGGTGTTTAAATCAGTACAATTGAGAATTCAATCTCTAAGCCAACGAGATTAGAAAATCTTTGACCAATGGTTTGCATTCGTTCAACACCCGTTAGCCCATCATGAAGTTAAAATCAGAGTTCTTTGAATACTGAGATATATTAATCTACTTGATTCTTAGTTCATCAATTTCAAAGAAAATATGAGTACTGGAATTTAAGTTTTGTGTGGTGGTGACTTATTTTTTGTTTACATGATGGTCGTATTACCCCTTAGTTATTAGCCATATCAGTTTCGGCCTAGATTGTTTGTAATACATTACTATTTATATTTTGTTAAGATTTTGACTACAAAAATTATTGTTACTTTCTAGATTATAAAAGTAAAGTTACTGGTATCTTAGGGACATTAAGGAAATAAAGTTTTACTCCTAAAAGATTTTCTTGAATGCTAAGCTTCACGGAGATCTCACATGATGCATTAACTATTATTTGATTCTTATACTGTGTAATGACTAATGTATGTTTTTTTAAAGTTATATAGAATGTTTAAAATATATACATACATAATATTTAATTTTTATGCATGTACCAATGTTTATATAGTTTGTTAGTCACCAAAGTGATCAAACTAGATTGTTTAAAATATTCACATGCATAAAATATTCTGATATTTATTTTATGTGTGCATTTATGTTTATATAGTTGTTAGTCGCCAAAGTGACCAAACTAGTATGTTTAAGAAATATGCATACATAAAATTATAGTTTATCCATAAAATTAATGAAACGCCTATAATTTAAAATTAGTGGATAAATTATTTTTAACTATTGCTAGAACTTAAGGATTTACCCAAAGGTGAATCAATTATTCTATGAATAGTGAATATGATGAGGTAAATTAATATTCGTAGTTAAATATATATTGTATGTCCAAAGATGGCATATATATTTGGTTAAAAATATATAATTACCTATTAAAGACGAAGTGGCATTTAAATTATGATAGTGCATCGTAGTATTTACCCAAAGGAGAATTACGATATGCTTTAACTGTTTCAAATCCATATTGATTTGTGAGCATGTATTATCTATTTTGCAGTTATTCCTTTTCATTCGCTTGCTTCGTCTATTACTGTGTTCAACGGATTGAACTTCTCTGAATGGCGTGAACAAGTCCAGTTCCACTTAGGTGTGATAGATCTTGACTTGGCTCTGCTGAATGATAAGCTCGTTGCCATTACTGATTCGAGCAGTGCGGATGAGAAGTCTTTCCATAAAGCATGAGAACGCTCTAATAGGCTAAGCCTTATGTTTATGCGAATGAATATTGCCAACAACATTAAAAGTGCTATTCCACAAACAGAAAGTGCCAGGGAATACCTGAAGTTTGTGGAAGAACATTTTTGTTCTGCAGATAAGTCTCTCGCTGGTACACTAATGGCTGAACTCACGACCATGAAGTTTGATGGGTCGCGTAGTATGCAAAACCATATCATCGAGATGACTTACATTGCAACAAGACTTCAGACCTTGGGGATGAAAGTGGATGACTCCTTCTTGGTTTAGTTTATTTTGAACTTGTTACCTCCTGAGTATGGACCTTTTAAAATTAACTATAACACTATTAAGGATAAGTAAAATGTTAGTGAATTGTCCAGTATGCTTACTTAGGAGGAGTCAAGACTTAAGAAATAAGCGAGTCATTCAATTAACCTCATGGGTCAAAGAGCTGGTAAAGGACTTAAAATGAAGGCCAACAAGTTCAAGAAGAAGAAAGCACTTGCTAAAGCTCAACAGGATGCTAACAAGGAACATAAGGCAGATACGTGTCATTTCTGTAACAAGGAAGGACACTATCAGAAAGATTTCCTGAAACGTTAAGCTTGGTTCGAAAAGAAAGGTACAACTAGTGCTTTTGTATGTTTCGAATCAAATTTAGTAGAAGTTTCTAATAATACTTGGTGGCTTGATTCTGGTGCAACTGCTCATGTATCTACTATGTTATAGGGATTCCTTACGATCCAAACTACAGATCCAAATAAGGATTTCTTGTTCATGGGAAATCGTATGAAGGCTCCAATTGAAGGCATAGGGACTTATCGTTTGATCATGGAGACTGGACGTCACCTTGATCTATTACAGACTCTTTATGTACCTTCAGTTTCTAGGAATTTGATTTCTCTTTCAAGACTTGATGTTTCTGGATTTGATTTAAAGTTTGGAAATGGATGTTTTAATTTATATAAGAATGC